GGAGCTCCGCAGGGGTTCCTTTCTGGAAGGCTCCAGAGCTTTGCATCTTCTACGATGGTGCAAGCCCAGCAGGGATTGACTGTTCCGCCTCCACGAACCCTGGCCATGAAGCCTTATGCTACTGCAAGACCTCGCTGATCCAGAGCGAAGAAGACGAGTCTCAAGACCCCGCCTTTTCGGTTGGCTTTCGACTTGTGCAAGTTAGGCCTGCGCCTTGGTTCTGAGAATCTGGAACCCCTTAAAGAAGATTGCCACCTCTAAGATCTTGCAATTGGAGCAAAATAGAGGTGCGGGGAGCTGCATATATGCCACTAAACATCACTAAACAATCAATTTGTTGTTTTGGTACACACTTGCTTGGTTAGGGCCAATGTCAACAGAGGAAAGCACGAAGATGGATGGCACAGTCTACTCCAAGATGGTGGGCTTCCCAATGAACCCAAGGGAGTGCCGGGGCGGCGATTGCTTCGACATTTATCGTTTTGGTGGGTGTCTGGGTGCGGATGGTCCAGCGACCGACCAGGTGTTCTGGGGATTTGTTTTCTTTGAAAACAATGGCAACCCCCCAACGGTTAGTTGGGAGGAGATGCCTCCTCTAGAAGTGCGCAAACCGTGGCTGCCTCCTGAAGAACATTACAAAGTTCCCGTGGCAGCGCACACCGCGGTACGATACGGCACAACAGATGTTGCCTGGCTTCTTGGTGGGTTGGACCATTGTGGAAGCAAGCCAGATGGAAGCCCGACCGTGTTCCACCGTTGGCTGTGGCAGTGGCGGCGGGACACTGGAAGTTTGCTTCCTCTTATACTAATACCAGAGGATTGCGGAATTGCCTATCATTCCGCAAACTACTGGAATGATGAGGGCAATCCTGGGATGCTGGTCTACGGTGGCATGCGCTCGTCTTCGTGTGGTGGAAGCATTTTTTTGAAGAATGCTTGGTGGTTTAGCTGGCGGCGTGTGGACTTTTTGTTGCGACTTGGGCGAAGAACACGAGTGTCACACAGCGGATAGGCAGCTAGCTACAGCTAGTGATAAATTGATAAGAACATTTACTACAGTTAGTGATAAATTGTTAGTGATAAAAAAAAGTGATAAATTGCTAGACCACATCTCGTTGAATTTTGGCATGAACAACTTTTTTGGGACGATCCGAGGAGGCCAGTACCATCAAGTGAACCAGGTGTGTTTGGGCACGCAACCACCACTTTGCCAAGCGTCGGGCTGTTTATCCATGGCGGGCGATTGGAGAATGGAGAATTCGACAAGAGGGTGCGTTTTGAATCTCTTTATCAGATCTTGAGATCTGGCAACTGGGACGCAAGTGGATCTGGAAAGAGATCAATGAAGTCCTCATGTTGCCCAATGGTTGGAAGCCAAAAAAGATGGACCGAGATCTGTTCTTGCCCAGTGATTCGATTCGTGCCTAGATCACAAATCACAAAGACGGGTCAAGAGTATTATTGCAGTGATCTTGGGGAAAGATCTGCTGCCATGTCCTTCCACCATGCTTCAACTTAAACCGTTTTGTGTTTGAATAGGGCTTGACCCTTCAAAGTAAAGTAGTCACGATCCCAGCAGCGCCGGAGAAAAGGCAACTATAGCGGCTTGTGATATGAGTTTGTTTCAGAAAAATGCTTCTTTGGCTCTGAAAGCAGTGGCCGTAAGGCACACGATTATTTACGCCGCAAGTGCTTTCACCAACGGGGCCAGAGCGGATGTATCACACTTTGAGCCTTGGCTTGTATAGTCACATGTGGACAGTCAGTCTTTAGTGCAGTCAAGACCATTTTGGGGCGTGCATTGTAAAAGAAGATGTTGCGCCGATCAATCATGCCAGAGCGCCCAGGGCACATGCTTTCGTGCATGAAGGCAAGCTACCGTGCACTGCTATCGCCCAGAGCACAGTGTCCCAACGCGCACGGCGTGGAAGTAGATTGCCGACCACGGCGCCATGCCTCTTGTAAGTTTCCAGCACGCACGGCGAGCTTAATGCCCATTTGTCATTGTGCAAGGGTCGGCCCTAGCGCGAATCGGCAAATGGGAGAAGAAGGATTCAGAAGATAAGATTCATTCAACCTGGATATTGGACCTGGGCATGAAGCCAGCTGGCAACTCTCAATGTTTTCAGGGAATGTCTCGTCACAATGTGTCATCGGGCGCGTTGCGTTGCCAGGGTCCACGGCATTACTGTTTGGACTGTGCAGTCGCAGTCCGTCACTGCAATAACAGGCCATGTGTTAGGTCCAAAGTAGCATCCCTTTTTGGAGATACAATGATACAGTACCTTGATTTGTGTCCATGAAGCTGGAAGAATGACAGTGATGCAAACTGCTAGGAAAATCATTGGTAATTGCGGCCATAAAGGTGCTGCAAACTGACACTTTGTTTGTCCGGGATGCTCTTCCCATACATAAATCAACAGTTTTAACAAACATGCTGAGTCATATTTGGTTAAGTAAAAGGAAAGGGTCTCCAAACGAAATGTTCAACAGGTATTGACATTGGCAATGTTGCAATGTTTGTGACAAAATCATACACAATCTGTGTTACGTGTGCACGCGCTCCCGCACATCAGAAACAAGTAGGACAAGATCTTAGGACTAGTACTAGACAAGCAAAAATGTTCAAAAACTAGAAGAGTCTCCTGTATCTGAATCATGTGTGTATATAAAAATGTGTATATGGTGGATTTTGGAGCAGCTGTCTCAGCCTTTGAAAACTACAAGGTTCATAAGTTCATAAGGTGTGTTAGTTTATGCTTGTGTTGAAAAAGCAGCAGCTGCGTTAAAGGATACGTGTTTTGCGTACTTGTCAATGCCGATGCTAGCTGCTAGCTGTGTATAGTGGGTTCTGCCAAAAGGCCATACTAAGGTCCAAAAATAAGAGATTGTAAGAGCTTGTCCGAGAGTGTTCCAACCAAAATGTGCATGAAGATATTTCAACTGCTGTATACACCCAAGACTCAGATAGTTGATAGAATCGGCTCAACATTTATCCGGACATATATATATATATAACTTGTGTTTGTCCTATAACCTGTAACAGTCAGCAAACAAGTATTACTATCTTTGAACAAGGCCTGCAACTGAACCATTATCATCCACTGGGCCCTGGCAATGGGATAGACCTAATAATACCCAATAGAACCTGAAACATCCTGAAACAGAAATCTGCCACAAATGTGCAGAAACAGGTGGCGCTGATGCTGGGAGCAACCGACGTCAGAGGTTCTTGCCGAGTACCAAGTTCCAAACAACAAGAGAACAGCACTATACAACGCATTCGGAACCTCCAAATCAGAACCTCAGAACTATTCCGAGGCCCACTTCATTCCCACATTCCTCACAGAATTGCGTCTAGAAATGAAATGAACGGGGGAGGACATGACAAGGAAATGACAAGTAAATAACAAGGACCCAAAAACAATTAACAAACTACGAAACTGCTGCCAAAGTCCAGTGGAATTTGAGGCATGCAGCAGGGCCTACATGAAACGTTCAACAAGCACAATGAAGGAAGCTCTCTAGTCACAGGACAATCCAACATTGGAAAGATTGGAATTATCGATCCACATGCGTTGAAGTATAGAATGCCTAGAACAAATTAGCCTCAATTCTGGCCGGTGCTTTGGGGGGATTTAGTTTTAAAACAACATGCTCAAGTGTCGCTTGCTAACCCGAAGAGGATGTGCTCGCTGCAGCACGCGCCCGGCATGGACACATGTGTTTTCTTTGTGTAAGCTTCTTGTTTGCTCAGGTTGCCCGAAGGCTTAACTATCAATTTTGGTCTCAAGGTCATGGGTGGGGCACGAGAGCTTGACCAGCCCAAGTATCGGAAGACCTACACTTGCTTCAAAGCGCAAGAAGAGTTGACAGAAGCGTGGGAGTGGTATTATGATATGTTCAATGCCTTCAAGAACTATCCCAAACAAGGCGGCATTTGGGGACACGCAGCAACCTGGCAGCAGCTAAACTGAACAGTTTTAAGACGTTCAAAATTTCAAGTTCATTTGCAAGCATTCTACAAACCAATCTGAAGCTGCAACGCTTGAATTGGATCACCTTGGTGGGCTGGTGGAAAACAGATACTGTAGTGACGAGGAATTTTTTTGTTGCCACTAATTGTGGGATGTGTCGGCGTTTCAGCAGCTGTCCACTGTCCCCCCGTGCACTTTTGCACACCAGCTACCCCACCTACATGTGGCGGCAGTGGAAGATTGGACAGCTGGCGAGATATATATAGGCAGCCAGCTGCCATGGGGATCGTAGTTCACCGCAAGGATGAAGGGAGCAGAAAGCTGACGCTTCGGTGTGCACGAGGCAGCAATGCGTAGGAAACCAACATTAGCCACTGAGATTGGGCGACCCCGAACCACATTTTCATTGGAAGCAGTTGGGTTGTCCAGTCAACTCAAACACCGCAGAGTCAGACCGTTGTTGTCACGACTGCAGCTTGTGCATGTGGGAAACTTGCCAGGGGTTGTACTATGGCTCTGGGTGTTTTTCGTCTGGATCTTGCACCAACTATGACATCATGATACTTGGAGGTTGCATTGGAACCCCGTGTAGCCTCACCAACGACCTTTATGTGTACCGAAATACAGGTCATGCAGCTCGAGCGCTTTTGTCACTGCTTGGCGTGTCATTCTTTATGCAAGCAAAATAGCCTTGCTATTGACTTCTTGACCTTGCAAATTGTGAGGGCCGCATCGTGCACAAGACACGTGAGAATCGCGGAAAGAAAAGACATGTGCCGTGTTCCTTGCCATAACCATACCTCGATCTTTGAGTTATGACATGTTGCGCGCACCTTTTTTTTTCCCCCGGACATGGCCTGGCCATGTGCTTTGGCCAAACGCTCTACCTCCGCGGCCTTCGTGGAGCGTCTTGCTGGTGACCAGCATCGCAGAAGTGTTGTTCGTTTTTCGTTGATGCTCCATTCTAAGCGGTTCTTTTCTCAAAAACGTTGGTTTCTTCGGGTGCTTGTGGCCATGTTGCAGGAGATAGCCTTCGTTCCTCACCGCCTGGTGCGGAGGTGCGGAGGATGTGCGGGAAGACAGAACGGAATTTCGATGGTGGGAACTTGGAAGCTCAGACGTACCATATTGTATATCCCGAAATGAGAAATGAAACATGATTCAGAAGAGATTTTAACTCTGATTTCAGCAGTTTTTTGTTGTAACTGTAAATGTTTCAATCTTCCCGATGTTCGCGTTTCGGCCTTGGATTCGGCCCTTTTTTTCGATGGAGATCGTCGTTGAAGATTCATCCCGATGATTCGTTTTTGCTTCACAGTCGCTGACGAAAGCAACCCAGACCTGTGCAGTGTCACAGGTCTGGGATTTGTATTGACACATGGTTGTCGATCTAAAGGTCCTAGTCAGCAGTGTGTATGACGATGACCCGGAACATATCAAAATCTCATTTGGCGAAAGTTTTTTCTCGAGTTGGCGAAAGTAATTATTTTTTGGCGAAAGATCTGGCGAAAGATTAAATATGTACTTTTGTATGAATGTTCATTTGCTTTCTGAACAGCTGGTGGCAGTGACTCAGAAGCTAGATGAGCTGTGGAAGTTAGATAACATGCTGCTGCTGCGGCTGCTATTCCTACTACTACTACCACTACCACTACCAGTACCACTACCACTACCACTACGACTACTACTACTACGACGACGACGACGACTACTACGACGACTACGACTACGACGACGACTACGACTACGACTACGACTACGACTACGACTACCACCACCACCACGACCACTACCACTACCACTACCACTACTATACCACTACCACTACCACTACCACTACCACTACCACTACCACTACCA